CGATAATTTGCACTAGTGCAAATTATCAGATAATTGCATACTAACTGGTGCGAAAACTGGTGTTTTGACATTTTTTGTCAAAAAAATTAAATTTTTGATTTATGAAATTCTCTCATTAAATACAACTCGTGCAATGGAAATATATTTATAATTTTCGACAAATTTGCACTCATGCGTTTTTAACTGAAAAAGGCACTCGTGCACTACGTGCACTCATGCTCTTTTTCAACTAAAAATGCATTCCGGCAAATTTCCCAAAAATTATCAATAATTTCCATTGCACTAGTTATATTACTATTGATAATTTTCCTATGATTATTCCAGAAATCCTCTTTGTTTGAATTCCCAGTTATCACATTTTTGACAAACGAAAATCTCTCAAAAAGTTGGGTTCAGTTGACAGACGCTGATATATCTCTCTTTTTTGCACTAATGAGTAAGTGTGTCTCGAATATAGAACGAAGGTTTAATTCATTTCATACTCAAATACAACAGCTATGACGTAGAATCAAAGCGCGAAATATTTTCGTTTAAATAGTGCGTCCCAAAACTCTACTTTTACAATCGTTTTAAACCAAGTTAGCAATTTTTTCTGAAATTTCTTTCAATAGGAATATTTTTCATTTACTCCATAGATGAACAATAGATCATCGATTTCATTGAAATTATACCTTGTCCAGTACCCTATTATTCCTTATCTTCCTTATCTCCATAGGCGGTTCTAGCCCATCTGATCTGGGGGGGCTGAAGCCTGAAGCCCCTGCTCCAAGGTCGCTCGCCGCAGGTGGTGGAGGTGCCGTGTTCTTTCCCTTTCGCCAAATCTTCCTATTTGGTGTAATTATTTTGTACAATTTTTCTTTTTTTTTTTCTTTTTGGGTGTTACGTGAATCAAAAAGTGCCAGTACAATCTTAGTATTTTTTTGTTTTTTTTTGTTTTGGGCAATTTAAATGTTTTTGAGCTGCATTTCTATACTATATAATTCCCCCGATTGATAAAAATTTTTGCGGTTGCATTTTTTTCTTTTGGACCTCATATCGTCTTAAAAGGTCTTACCATAAATGACTGAGGAGAATAAGTCCGGACAGAAAAGACCTTTTTATTAATTGCCAATGAGTGGAAGTGATGCAGATAGAGTCTCACGAAGTAAAGCAAGATCGCATTCGGAAAAACAGGAGAGAAGCGATAGCATCGAGAAAATTAATTGCAACCCTACACAACAAAGCACGGTAGTTAGCACTCTCACCCCATCATTTACATTAGTCAGAAGTCCACCTAGTAAAAGTTCCGAGCATAAAATATTCGTAGAAGTTGAATCCAGTAATAAGCAAGAGAAAGTATAGACCTTTTTCCCAGCGATACTCAACAGTGATATTCTCAAAACAGCCGACGTATCGGTCGAAAAAATCGATGCAACTCCAGACCAGGAGTTAAAGAGCAAATCACAGATGTCCGATATATTAATAAATCCAGTCAGGAAGAAACCGGAAAATTGCAAACACAAGATCCAGGACGCTTCGTTAGAAGCTAAAAGTTCCGCAACCCCTAAATTCATGGAACCTCCAACTTTCAACCCAAGTTTAGATTCCCCTATTAATTTTTTGAGCAAATATGAAAGAGCAGCAGCCCTGAGTGGCTGGTCCACCTCCTACAAAATATCTTTTTTTGGATGTTTCTTAGAAGGCGCCGCAAATAGCTGGTTTTCAGCATATAAATCAAGCCAGACAAATCAAAACCGAACAAGGGAAAATATAAAAACAGACATCTCGAAGGAGTTTAGCGGAGAACAACCACTAAGAAAATTGAAGTTTAGGTTGAATACGAAAAGATAACAGGAAAAAGAGGATATCAAGCACTTCTACTTTGAATTATACGCCCTAGTTTATGACCCTAAAATGCCCTTCGAGACTTTTAGGGACCATTTCGAGAATGGTCTCCACTCATTGTTCTACGGAATTTACTACCTCATGAGTTCAGGTACGATGGACCACGCCAAGTTGAGAACGTTGGTCCCGAAATTGAGCGAGGTAAAAGAACGCACCTTGATACAACAAATGACTGATCAAACCAGCCTACTTACATTGGACGGGATAAGGGGGCTGGTGAACAACCGGCCTTACGTAGAAATAGTCTTAGATACTGGATCAAGTCGACGTATAATTGAAAAATCCTTGATTGACAAAATCATACCGTCAAATGAGGGGATCTATTTGGTGACCGTAGGTGCTAGAATTTCCCCCTTGGGGATCTCGGAGGCTAAACTCACAATAGGGAAGATAGCAGGATATATAGAGCCATTAGTAGTAAAAAAGCTCCCGAAACCCTTAATTTTAGGCACGGATTTCCTGTTAAAAAATAACGCGATAATTGACTTTGGGCTAAAAAAAGGTCCATCTGAGAAATGGAGATGCTTACGCAACCCTAGATTTTTTATTTAAAAAAGAAGTAGTAGCTACCATACAGGAAAAAAGGTTAACTGTTCATGAAAGGCAAATAGTTGAGCTCCCACAGGAGCTTCCACAAAGCAGTGCGTAAACTTTGGCTGCTCCTACTTATCACACACAGCTACAGGCAACAGAGGCAACCCTGTCCTTAGCGGTGGGGGCTAGGGTTGCCTCTGTTTCCAGACGTCCCTATTTCGGATTTTTATGAAATAATTGAATAAAATTTTATGAAATAATTAGATAATGGTATTAAATCAGTGAAATTATTGAAATAATGTAGTTAATTAATCCTAACGCTTGAATATTTTTTATTCGGGGACTGCGAACTTTTGCCACTCATCGCTAGTTTAAATTTGAGGGGGCTAATTCCAGATTTGGGGGGGCTTAGCCCCCCCAAGCCCCCACCTAGAACCGCCTATGCTTATCTCCTATGGCGCGCAAGCTTAGAACAGCAAGAGCATCAGCACTAGATTTCCCGCAATTTCCAGATGTGATACAACCGAAAGTTCCTATAAAAAGGATAAGAGAATATTTTGGAAAGCCTTTTGGAATGCTGAAGATTCTGTTTAATTTGCGTTTGAATCTCTTGGAAATGAATCATCGATTACTGATCAAAACTTCATATTAGGTACTTCAAAAATTCATTTGCCAAGTATATTTACACCAAATAGGTAAAACTTCAACGGATATTGAAGAACTTCTATCGAGGAATCTTTTTTTGAAACAAATGCGAAGACAATTTTCTAGATTTGAAACCACTTACTGATTTCGGCTGGTTATTTTAAAATGAAAGGTTTGTTCCTACATAAATAGAGACAAAATAGAGACAGATTTAGCAACCGAACCACTAAACAACCATGCTAAAAATTTTAAAAATTATAAAATTTGAAAATAAGGTAAAGTCCATCGATTTTAATCTGATACTCCAAAGGAATGTGAGCTGGTGGCACCCTACATTAGAACGCCAATGGTCACCTGACGTCACACCTGTTTTTGCCATATACTTCACCCCCTTCCTTCTCATACGGAATTAAAACAGTTACACCTTAGTGCAATAGAAATCCTTAAAAAAAATCGCTTGCTTGCATACCAAAAAAGCACACGGGAATACAAATCAGACCGGACTAAAAAAGGAATTGTCAACCAGTGCTCGGAAAAACTGCCTGACATTACCGTGAAGGAAATAGGAAAACTAAAACCAATAAGGCATTAGGTGGAAACAATGTACTTACACTGTAATTATTGGTTGCAAGATGCCATTCATAGAATATGCCATTTGCACGATATGCATTGTAAAACTGATGCCAACCTGCTTCATTTTACAACCAATCAGGGCCAAAGCGGTATTGTTTTTGTTTCAAAGTTTTCAATGTCAAAATTTATCTTGGGGAAAATACACCTTAGCCGTTGACGCATTAAAAATAGGCGAACATCGCTTGCCCCAAAACCTTGAAATTATATTTAATTTTGCCTCTTCAATGATGTATCCCCAAATAAATAGCACAATTTCATAATGATCCTACTTCTATAAAAAAAAAAGTAGATGTAGCCGAACTGCAGAACTATTCACCCAATGGTCTTTTAAGCCATCTCAACAACTTTTCCACCAGAATCATAACCATCTAACAACAAAATGAGCTGCTAACTTTTTCTAATTACTAGAGCAAGCTCTATCCCGGATTTGGTTCCAATAATCACCTTCGAAGTACAAAAGTCTCAATTGAGAAGACGATCGAATACAACAGACCTCTAGCATTTGTTCTCGTGGATTACCATAAGACATTTAACACAATCGACCTGACCGCAATAGTTATGGAAGCTCTCCAGGAATATATAATTGACTTCCAATAGACCAGACACCTTCGTAATATCTAAAAAAATACAATAATAGTCACAAAACTACACGAAAACACCAACCGCTTAGATATTGTCTGACAAAGACATACGATGTCTTCTAAGCTCCCTTTTCGATTGATCATCAATATATTCCAACTCCTACATTACTTTTGATTTATCACTTATCGGTAATTAGGCGGAACAGAACTAGCTTCTCATAACATCATGCTTCATCGGAGCTTCTATTATATCATACCTTCTTTTATGGTTATAATATAATTACCTAATATTATAATCTTTTCTAGAATATTTTCAGTTCCTTACTGACCTATCTTGTGCCATGTTATACACCTAATTTTTATCGTTGTTTGTTTATCATTCTACTCTTCAAAAGCTTCCGGGTAACATAACTCTCCTCCAATAAATGTTTTATATATATCCAGTGGCATGAGGAAATATTCGCTGCTGTCTATTGATTGATAGCATCTCCATCAGTCATCATCAATCACTATGTAACAATCCTAATATTCTTTTAGTTTTTGTCTTATTGCGCTTGCATAATAAACTTTTACATTAAGATATTGTCGAATTTTTCAACCAATTCATATTTTTTACAAATCAAAATCCTTTTGACCAGTACATATAGGTGCTAACCTGAGTACTAGGACAAGTTGTTACTAAACAGCATTCGTCGATTCAACAAATTATAACTATTATTCTAGGTGTGAGGAACTCCAGCTAGAACTATCATCAACAGCTCGTACTCGAGGAGTTACCTCAACAGGTTTATCGGGTTTGGGTACAAACTATGTCACTCCAGGGCACCATCAGCACCATCAGCAGCACCACCAGCCCTGGTCGCAAACAAAAGGTACTGAGATTGAAAAAATTATGGCAAAAATAGAGCAGGATAACAGAATATTAGCTGAGTTAGACCATAGTCGCAGTACTACTTTAGGTGAGTTGATTTTTTAGTGTTCGCTTTTAGTGTACCTATATAGTGTTTTGGTTGCTTAGTATACGATGTTGTGTAGCGCTTAAACCTAGCTCCTACCCTATAAATAAATACAAAATTTAGACATAATAAATTTGGTGTTCATTGAACAAAATTTGGATCAAAATATTGACCAGGAAAAATTCTAAATTTGCATATAGGTCAAGGGCTAGCAACAAGTGTCAGTTCTCATGCTTTAGGAGAGTGTAGCCCGCCGATATCACCGATCACAATGTCGCACACGACGCCCAGTATTTATCCGATCAACACGTCGCTAGGCAGCCATCATAGCTATAACGCAGGTATCTAGACATATATATAGGCTCTAGGTATCTAGGATCGAATTCAGAGCTGTGTGCAGTAATGAAATAAATTAAACTTGAAGATCATTTTGTGTGTGTATTACTTTTACCATACTGGATCAATTTTGATAGGTTTTAAAGTTGTTTACTATGCGCAGCTCTGAATAGAATAATTCAATTAGTTGCAATACTCAAGTAGTTTTCATCTATTTTGCAATATTTGATCAATGATGTTTAGTTCGTTAATTAATTTTTAATAGGTCTTAGAGCCAGCAAGGTATTTTGGCCCTAATTGCGAAATGAACCAAATTTTGGTAAGAGCTCAATTTTCTTATCTTGAAATCGGAGATAGTTTTCTACGTAACAAGTGCTGAAATTTACATAACGCAATATTTTCAAGTCTAGCGAAAACAAAGTCAGATATTTATTTTTTGTTTTGTTAATGCTTCTCACTCACAGAGTCCAATTTGTTTTCAAAAAAACTTTGAAATTAGTATATTGTGTATTTAGGTGGAAAAGTGACACATTCTCGGCCGACGGTGTAAGTTGACGGGCGAGGCGTAGCCGAGGCCGGCAAACACCGAAGGCCGAGAATGTGCTTTTTCACCGAAATACACATACTATTTTTTCTGCGATCGGTTAAATATCTGTTAAATGTTTGTCTTTTTGTTCCAATTGTTCAGCAGTACGAGAATCACTTTCCCGGCCTAGGCCGGAAAAGTGATTCTCGTATTGTTATTCATCGATTCCTTAGCAACTATTGAAAAATAATTAAAATATCAGAATATTGAGTTTTGCGACCTGTCAACCGGTCAAAAATGCTGACATTTCTTGTCAATCGCAGAAAAAATTATTTTGCAGGTACTTAGGTATTTCCTTAATCATTACTTTTCCGTAGCGTGTAGGATGTAGCCATCAATTTTATCTATCGATCTCTTTTGTCTTTTATCCAATGTGTATTTCTTATTGTCGATCTGGCCCCGTTTCCATTTTTTTCTATATTATTTATATTAATCAAATAAGAAGTTATGGTAGGTACAAAATTATCCTGTTGTATAATTGCTCGTAGGTCATAGGTAACATCATTAGCAGTTCTAAGTTGTCTTCCAACGGTTCTGGGAATGTTGCTAAAGTAGCTAAATATTGGTCCTATGTGGAACGATCTTCTGTTACCAAAATTATTATAAGGCAAAGTTTGCCTTTATTATTTATTCCTCTTGATGCTTCGGTATCTTCTGGGTGTTCTCAGATATTCTACTGATTATTGCGATACAGTTATATTGTAAACTAGCTGTTGCCCGCGGCTTCGCACGCCCTATACAAATTTTGTAGGAGTAGGGTGTAGGTAGCATTAGGTAATCTTCTTTCAAAGAGCTAAGGGGATAGTTGCGTCAGACATATGGTCATGTAACTCTTATTTTTGCAGCACCTCTCTGTAAACCACATTTTTTGTGCTGCTTTGTGGCTGCAGAATATAGTTGTATTGCTTTCAAGAGTTTGAAGCACTCGAGCTACTCGCTCCGGTATTCAGTCGCCCCCGATTTGCAAGGAACAGATGCGTGGTGCAACCTTTGATGCAACAAACACTTTTCGAAAGAAATAAGCGCGTGAAGCCCCGGAGCTGTTCCGGAGCTCCTCCTAGGTGTGAAAGGAATACAACTTATGAAGACTATTTTTTGACAGCTGACGTTAAATTTTTTTTGAAGTGCCACTCGCTGCTAATAGCTTTGTTCGCGGATCATATTTTGAACCTATTCCGAACCAGTCCGGAACTAATTGAGGACTATCGTAGAGCGCATGCCCAGTTATAGCTGGGTTCGGCTTGCTCACTCCGTGCACTCCGAGTGATTCCGTTCGCACTTCAGCCGTTCGGGTATTACCTCTATCAGATAACGGCTGGAGTGCGATCGGAGTAACTCGGAGTGAGCAACCCGAACCCAACTTGTGAATGGGTTTCTATTTTATCGCGAACAGTTTTGGAACCGAACAAAAACTCCAGAACCTTGCACCAGACTGTCGAATACGTGAACGAATTGCGAATGTCATGTCTCAAACTGACTCAAACTTGAAGTTAGCTTAGCCTGGGACCGGTGGAATTTGTTCAGAATCGGATCCGAATCGTTTCTGGTGAAAGCATGAAAATATAACGACAAAAACACATTTTTTTTTTTACACTGATTCTACAAATGGAAATCGCTATGAATTTGATTCTGCTTGTCATATTTCTGAATTTGACAGCTGACACGTCGTCTGTTTCTGTTTACACTTTTTTTCCCCGCACTTCCGCCCGCACCACACCGTTTCTTATTTTTGGTTATTTAAGGCGATTGCTTAAGGCCATGTTGATATTATTTCTTAGTGAGCATCTCCAACCTTTTACCTACCTGTTTGCAAAATTTCATCTCGATTGGTTTAGTAGTTTTCAAGATTTCGTGTTTAATCAGTCAGTCAGTCAGTCAGTCAGTCAGTCAGTGAGTGAATGAATTTCACGTTTATATATATAGATAGCTTAGTAAGCTCGTTGGAGAATGGTGGCCTAAATAAGATATCGGCAAGCACATTATAGCCGAGTCTGAAGTGAATTCAACTTTTAGAATAAACAATTGAGGTTTAACACCCATAACGCTGAACCCGCCTTTCGGGGATTCAAGCCTTCAAAGCCATTTTGAAAATACTGGAATATTCAATTACCTTTTCTTCGGGGGACTGAAGTACCTACCTCAAAATGTTCCTATGGCATAATCGCTAGCAATTCACGTTCACGCCTAAGGACTGTTACGGTAGTTGAGGAAAGGGTTTCTTAAGTCGGGGTTGCATTGTCTTGGGATTTATTCCAAATTCATCGTGACTTTTTTCGAATCAAGTCTGTCAAGAGCTTGGTAATATTAGCAAAATCTGGCACAGATTCGCGATACCAGGATCAGTGCATAGTTCTTCAATAACTGATGAAATTGGAAAATCAGTAGTAATGCAAGTAATTCAAATCTTTATACGTTCCTGTAAACACTAGCAGATCCTCCAAATATACAAAAACCACGTCTACAATAGGTACCGCTCTCAAATTTTTCATCAGCCTGTGAATGTGAAATACGGCTGGAGCCTTCTTAGGACCGATTAGTTTAAACCTGGATATATCGAAGAATGTGATAAATGCTGTTTTATCTTGATCCTACTCGACTACTGATATTGTCACAACTTTATCCTGTCGTAACGGGGTACGTAGGGTCAGGAGGATAGAGACTCGCTTCAAGTCTATCATGCCTATCCGTGTGTTGCCAACCACTATTTATATTCGTTTATCGCTGACCCGCCAATGGCGCCAATCAATAAGTCGGTCAGTCATATACAGGGTCATATTTTTCTAGGTTGCTTTGCTTGTTGACTATATTTGCCAACATCCGGACTGGAAGTATATTGGAAAACTATTATTCGTTTTGTTCCTCGCAAAATTTCTTCGGTTTTTAAATAGGTACTGGTCGGTAACTGGTAGTCGATGCACACCATTGGGTTTTGGTACCATGGCAATAAGACTTTCACCTCCTTCAACTATTTCATTAGAAAGCATATTTCCGCCTTCAATATTTCTCGTTTGGTTTTGTTGAATTGATAGAGTCAGTGGTGCAGCCAGCCATTTTGTCTGAGGGGGGCCATGCAGAAAAAATTATAGGATTATACACAGACTCACTATCCTTTAAACTTAAAGGGTGTTTAAACCCCAAATAAAAATTTCTGTATAATCAATTCTAAGAATAATATTTCCAGCCGCACCATTTTATGCCTAACGGTTTGCGAGATATTCGTAAAATAACCGTGGAAGCGTGACGTCACAGCCGCTCAGAAACCGTAGATTTAGACTCTAATAAAATCCTGCGACTCTCACTGGAATACGGGCTGACTCAAATAGGTGAAAGGTGGCTTTTGGTACACCAAAGTACACAAAAGCAAAGCCACTCCTGCCCCCCCTCTCCTGGATGCGCTCCTGGTTACAGTGGTTAACTGGCATAGAATTAGGTTGGCTTCTAATATACAATATGGCAAATTTCGTAGCCTCGCCACAGGATTCAAAAGTTAGTAAACTTGCATTTTCAGCTGATTGCGCTTCTCAACAATTTTCCACATCAGTGCGTGGAGTGGGGTGGTTGGTTGCTTGCAAATTGATTTCAATGGATATCTTCAATGTCCGGTACCTGCATTTTCTTTGAGAATTCGTTCCAAAGTGCCACGATTCGTTTGATAGGTCCAGCATTCCAGAATTTTTCTATTAGGTCGGCTCCAAGTGTATATTGTAACAACCTCTCTGTGACGAAGGGTGACGGGTGGATAGATGGAGAGAAACTCGCTTAATTTCACATAAAAAGATCTATATTTGCTATGAAGTCATTACGTCTGTGGCCGGCGCCTCCACCAAATGTCAAAACCTCTCTGTGAAGGGGGGTGTAGGGTGGATAGATGGAGAAAAACTCGCTCAGTTTTATATAAAAAGGTGTATATTTGCTATAAAGTCATCACGTCATGAATCCTCCAGGATGTATGCTCTTCCGTGGAAACGGCCACCACACGTTTGACGCTCTTGAACTTAGCCAATAAAAGGTCATGATTGATCCTATCAGAAGCCTTGGAAAAATCTAAAGGGACTAGCGCAGTATTCAGTCTTTCATCCGAAGCTGTAATTATGTCATCGGTAACTGTGACAAATGTCACAGAAGTACTGTAGTATTTTCTGAAAACACACTGAGTTTCCGGCAGAGCTGGGCAGTAGCTAGCTACCAAGTAGTTAAGCTACTAGCTTAGCTACTTTTTTAATAGCTAATAATTTATTCAAGCTACTTTGAAAAAAAAGTAGCTTGTAGCTGTAGCTTTTGGTAATGTGTTTCAAGTATTCATAAGCTACTGTGAAAAGTAGCTAGCTACTAAAACAAGCTACTTAAGCTACTTTTGGTAGATAGTTAATATTTATTTAGGTATTAATGATGGAAAGTGTCATTTACCGCCCGAGGGTG